CTTCTAGCCTCAAAACGCGCTAAGATCCGCACATGTGCAGGAAGTGCAGCGGGCGCTCTTCATTCTCAAGAGCCGATGACCAATGATGCTCGCAACCCTTCCACGCCCTTGCTGGCTTGGCAAGAGGCCCAGACAAGCGCAGCCACGTGACTTGGTAGAAGAAAAATGCTCAGAACGAGCGCTTCTAGCCTCAAAACGCTCTAGGATCCGCACATGTGGAGGAAGTGCAGCAGGCGCTCTTCATTCTCAAGGGCCGATGACCAATTATGCTCACAACCCTTCCACGCCCTTGATGGCTTGGCAAGAGGCCTAGACAAGCGCAGCCACGTAACCTGGTAGAAGAAAAACGCTCTGAACGAGCGCTTCTAGCCTCAAAACGCGCTAGGATCCGCACATATGGAGGAAGTGCAGCGGGCGCTCTTCATTCTCAATGGCCGATGACCAATGATGCTCGCAACCCTTCCACGCCCTTGCTGGCTTGGCAAGAGGCCTAGACAAGCGCAGCCACGTGACTTGGTGGAAGAAAAACGCTCACTGCGAGCGCTTCTAGCCTCAAAACGCGCTAGGATCCGCACATGTGGAGGAAGTGCAGCGGGCGCTCTTCATTCTCTAGGGCCGATGACCAATGATGCTCGCAACCCTTCCACGCCCTTGCTGGCTTGGCAAGAGGCCTAGACAAGCGCGGCCATTTGACCTGGTAGAAGAAAAACGCTCACTGCGAGCGCTTCTAGCCTCAAAACGCGCTAGGATCCGCACATGTGCAGGAAGTGCAGCGGGCGCTCTTCATTCTCAAGGGCCGATGACCAATGATGCTTGCAACCCTTCCACGCCCTTGCTGGCTTGGCAAGAGGCTAGAAAAGTGCAGCCACGTGACTTGGTGGAAGAAAAACGCTCACTGCGAGCGCCTCTAGCCTCAAAACGCGCTAGGATCCGCACATGTGGAGGAAGTGCAGCGGGCGCTCTTCATTCTCAAGGGCCGATGACCAATGATGCTTGCAACCCTTCCACGCCCTTGCTGGCTTGGCAAGAGGCCTAGACAAGCGCAGCCATGTGACCTGGTAGAAGAAAAACGCTCACTGCGAGCGCTTCTAGCCTCAAAACGCGCTAGGATCCGCACATGTGCAGGAAGTGCAGCGGGCGCTCTTCATTCTCAAGGGCCGATGACCAATGATGCTCGCAACCCTTCCACGCCCTTGCTGGCTTGGCAAGAGGCCTAGACAAGCGCAGCCACATGACCTGGTAGAAGAAAAACGCTCAGAACGAGCGCTTCTAGCCTTAAAACGCGCTAGGATCCGCACATGTGGAGGAAGTGCAGCGGGCGCTCTTCATTCTCAAGGGCCGATGACCAATGATGCTCGCAACCCTTCCACGCCCTTGCTGGCTTGGCAAGAGGCCTAGACAAGCGCAGCCACGTGACTTGGTAGAAGAAAAACGCTCAGAATGAGCGCTTCTAGCCTCAAAACGCGCTAAGATCCGCACATGTGCAGGAAGTGCAGCGGGCGCTCTTCATTCTCAAGAGCCGATGACCAATGATGCTCGCAACCCTTCCACGCCCTTGCTGGCTTGGCAAGAGGCCCAGACAAGCGCAGCCACGTGACCTGGTAGAAGAAAAATGCTCAGAACGAGCGCTTCTAGCCTCAAAACGCTCTAGGATCCGCACATGTGGAGGAAGTGCAGCAGGCGCTCTTCATTCTCAAGGGCCGATGACCAATTATGCTCACAACCCTTCCACGCCCTTGATGGCTTGGCAAGAGGCCTAGACAAGTGCAGCCACGTGACCTGGTAGAAGAAAAACGCTCTGAACGAGCGCTTCTAGCCTCAAAACGCGCTAGGATCCGCACATATGGAGGAAGTGCAGCGGGCGCTTTTCATTCTCAAGGGCCGATGACCAATGATGCTCGCAACCCTTCCACGCCCTTGCTGGCTTGGCAAGAGGCCTAGACAAGCGCAGCCACGTGACTTGGTGGAAGAAAAACGCTCACTGCGAGCGCTTCTAGCCTCAAAACGCGCTAGGATCCGCACATGTGGAGGAAGTGCAGCGGGCGCTCTTCATTCTCAAGGGTCGATGACCAATGATGCTCGCAACCCTTCCACGCCCTTGCTGGCTTGGCAAGAGGCCTAGACAAGCGCGGCCATTTGACCTGGTAGAAGAAAAACGCTCACTGCGAGCGCTTCTAGCCTCAAAACGCGCTAGGATCCGCACATGTGCAGGAAGTGCAGCGGGCGCTCTTCATTCTCAAGGGCCGATGACCAATGATGCTTGCAACCCTTCCACGCCCTTGCTGGCTTGGCAAGAGGCCTAGAAAAGCGCAGCCACGTGACTTGGTAGAAGAAAAACGCTCACTGCGAGCGCCTCTAGCCTCAAAACGCGCTAGGATCCGCACATGTGGAGGAAGTGCAGCGGGCGCTCTTCATTCTCAAGGGCCGATGACCAATGATGCTCACAACCCTTCCACGCCCTTGCTGGCTTGGCAAGAGGCCTAGACAAGCGCAGCCATGTGACCTGGTAGAAGAAAAACGCTCACTGCGAGCGCTTCTAGCCTCAAAACGCGCTAGGATCCGCACATGTGCAGGAAGTGCAGCGGGCGCTCTTCATTCTCAAGGGCCGATGACCAATGATGCTCGCAACCCTTCCACGCCCTTGCTGGCTTGGCAAGACGCCTAGACAAGTGTAGCCACGGGACCTGGTAGACGAAAAACGCTCAGAACGAGCGCTTCTAGCCTTAAAACGCGCTAGGATCCGCACATGTGGAGGAAGTGCAGCGGGCGCTCTTTATTCTCAAGGGCCGATGACCAATGATGCTCGCAACCCTTCCACGCCCTTGCTGGCTTGGCAAGAGGCCTAGACAAGCGCAGCCACGTGACCTGGTAGAAGAAAAAACGCTCAGAACGAGCGCTTCTAGCCTCAAAACGCGCTAGGATCCGCACATGTGGAGGAAGTGCAACGGGCGCTCTTCATTCTCAAGGGCCGATGACCAATGATGCTCGCAACCCTTCCACGCCCTTGCTGGCTTGGCAAGGGGCCTAGACAAGCGCAGCCACGTGACCTGGTAGAAGAAAAACGCTAATTGCAAGCACTTCTAGCCTCATAACGCACTAGGATCCGCACATGTGGAGGAAGTGCAGCGGGCGCTCTTCATTGTCAAGGGCCGATGACCAATGATGCTCGCAATCCTTCCACGCCCTTGCTGGCTTGGCAAGAGGCCTAGACAAGCGCAGCCACGTGACTTGGTGGAAGAAAAATGCTCACTGCGAGCGCTTCTAGCCTCGAAACGCGCTAGGATCCGCACGTGTGGAGGAAGTGCAGCGGGCGCTCTTCATTCTTAAGGGCCGATGACCCACAGGACTGACTGTAGGTTGAAGCACAGGTTGCGGATGATCAACATGACGTAGAGCGCCTTTAGCACAACATTCCATTGTGCGCTCGTGATTAGATTCTTATTGATTGCTATAATAATGTAAGATACTATGAACATTGGGATAACATTTCATATAAAGTGTCGTGACCAGACCATATGTTGTATGCAACATCTGTCAATGTATCAGGTGTTGATATTGTCGTCACCGTCTCAAGCCAGAAGCGCTAGGTGTGGAGTGACGAGGCGCGGGATGTTGTCCCTGTTCAGAAAAGCTTATTGCGTGTTCCACTTCGCAATACACAGATGGTGGAATTTTTTAAAATACAAGTTTATACATTAAACTGTACAGAGTGTGTGTATAACGAAGACCCTTACCACCTTGACAATTTCGGTGGGGAAGTTTCAGAATCAGGCTCGGCAAGCGGCGGCACTTACGCGGAGACGCAGGTCATGGGTCAAGGTTTGACATCCCATCCGCTCCTATCGGACGGTCCGTCAAGCCCAACCGTTTGAGGGATAAAGCAGACCGTGTCTGTGATTGGCTGCCGCCAATTGCCGCGAGAAATTTCTGGCACATTAGCAGCACCGGGACTGCCGCCGACAACCTGCCCCGTCAGTCGGGCACAGAGAGGTGGAGGATATGCGAAGGTGGACCCCAGCAAACGCCCCCCGTTATTGTCTCACCCACGGCGGAAGCTAGCTGCGGTGCGCAGCACAGAGCCTACACGTTGGGCGAACAGCGGAGCAGGATTCGCAAATGGGAGGAACTCAAGGTGAAATCCAACGAACCAGATTGCAGAACGTCAGAATGCGGAGTTACCAAGGAGAGTCTGTGAACCAAGGCAAGGAGATGTAAAACGAAAAGCGAAGTTCCCGAGAGTGGATTTTTGTCAGCAGATTTGACTTCCAGCAGCAGAATGCAAGGAAGGACAGAGTTTCGGAAGGTGACACCAGAAGCAATTCCAACTTCGTTTTCTGGGATGCGTTGGTTGGTAGGCAAGCAGATAACCACCAGTTGAGGGCGGTTCTGTCCCATCCATAGTCAGGTAGTTCTCTCGTTCCGCTAGTTACCTTAGTTCCCGTTGACTGAAGTGGCTTGTTAGTGTGTAGAATTCTGTGTAATCAAAATGACACGTTCACATTAGCTACTCAAGCAAAGCTTTTCCGAAGTTCACATAGTAGCTGTTTGACATGGGTATACCCCGGCGATCGGCATACACGCGGTTCGTAGACCAATCAGACAGCGACAGCTCTCCAGGCTCCTCCAATCCCTCCTCCCCATTATGCCAGAGCAACCCTTACCGGTTCACCTCCGCGAACATACACACGCCAGACGACGCCAAATCGCTTCAAACCGAATGGAACCTCCATCAAATTCAATACCAATCCCCGCCCATGCCCCACGCCTTAGCTCCAGTAGCGGAAGCCGAGAATGACGCGCATGAACTTGACCTCGGGGCGCAGGAGGCGCAGGCTCTTTGCGACGACAGAGAGAGTGGGGGAGTGGAGGCGGAAGGCGCGGGCGGAAGCGGGAGTGGCGGAGGATGGGGGGAGCGGAGAGCGCAGCTGCTGCAGCTGGGAGCGGCGAGCTGGGACAGGCTGGTGCCGCGGCGAGTGCGGAGAATCTTCGGGCAGGGAATCATGCCGCGCGCGTGGGGGTCCCAAGGGCCGATATTCGGGCTCGTGGACCGGCAAACCACGCCCGCATCGGCATGGGAGTGGTGCGTGCCAATGCGATGCGGTTAATCACCTGGGAAATTTGTCTGTATGCTGTTGCGTTGTATCGTGTAATAAGTTCATTAGGAACGAATTTGGTTGCCGCGACGCCTCATTCCCGTTTTCCCACCACGCGCTGCCTTTTCCCACCAGATGACTCGACGCGTCGAAGGTTCGCCGCACGGGGTAGTTGTCTTTTCTCCGCCATCCGCTCTTACGACTGGGTTTTTCAGCGACCATATGCATTCTCTTTATCCCCTTCTCCCCTCATCTCCCCTCACACAGGCTAGTGGACACGTGGAAGTCGCGGCGCGTGGGGCAGCTTGATTTCCTGCGCCATCCGCTCGTGCGGCCGGTGGTGCAGCTGCCCACAGGAGCATTTCCTTTCCCCTCTTTGGCCCTTTTTTTTCCTTCACACAGGCTAGTGGACACATGGAAGTCGCGGCGCGTGGGGCAGCTTGATTTTCTCCGGCATCCGCTCGTGCGGCCGGTGGTGCAGCTGCCCACCGAGGCGTTCGTGGGGCTGCTGTTCTGGACGAGCCTCATGGCGTTCGTGCGCAGCGTGTACTGGTTCATGCTCGCCGCGCAGGGCCTCACGTCGCACATCCTCCTCCTCGGCTACCTGCTTATCCCGGGTAGGTTTTCATTCAATTTTTTGCTCGCTGCGCAGGGCCTCACCTCGCACATCCTCCTCCTCGGCTAACTGCTTGTTCCGGGTACGTTGTCGCAGTCGAGTAGACGTTCGTCGCATTTAGGTCGTCGCAGTGGGCTGACGCTCGTCCTGGGTAGGCCGTCGCAGCTCGTCGCAGGTGGGCCGTCGCAGTCGACTAGATGCTCGTTTCTTATGGTGTGTTGGCCGTTGAGGCGACTTCATGTATGTCGGACCCTTCCCTCCATTGAGTTCTCTTTTCGTCGCCTCATTGTTCGCACCTCTTCTCCACACCGCCTCATGCCTCGCTCTACCCACCGCCAATGCAACGTCGCCCCCAACTTTTCCCGCTATCCCTCCCCGTATTCCCTCTATAGATACTTCTTTCTCAGCCTCTCTCCCCTAACTTCCCTTCCCCCTGCGCTCCCCTGTCCCCAAATTCCTTTCCCCCAGGTCTCGTGCTAGGTCACGAGTTCCTACACCAGCTGCTCTCCACCAATCCCGTGCTCCGAGCGCTCCTCGTCTTGGGCGGCGTGGTCGGCGTGGGCGGCAGCAGGGAGGGCGTCGAAACCACTATATGGGGGGTTGCGCTTAGCGGAGCAGGGGTTGCCATGGTAGGGTTATACATAGGGGAGGGGCTATGGCTTGCGCCGCCTGCGCGGAGGCGGAGGGTCGGGTTCGGGCTCGCGGGGGGGCTGCTGCTGCTGCAGGCGCTGCAGCTGGCGTTTGGCGGGCGGAACCCGCTGCTCGCGCGCTGGTGGGGGCTGCTGCTGCTGGCCGTGCTCCCAGGCGCGTGGGTGGCGGCGCTGCTGCTGTATGAAGAGTTGCGGGACTGGGAGGGGGAGGAGGAGGAGGAGCAGGGGCGGATGGTGGGCGGAAGCGGGAGCGCGGAGGGCGCGCAGGGGTACTGGCCGGTTGGGCGCGGTGGGCAGAGGTTGGAAGGGGCTGTGTTGAGTGAGGATGACTGGAGTGTGGAGTCGGAGGGAGGGTGGCGGGCGGCAGAGGAGGCGGGATTGAAGCAGTGGGATTGTGTGAAGGGTGTGGTTGAAAACGGTGGGGAAGGGGGGGAACTGAGGACAGAAAATGCAAGTTTCGTAGCAGTTACGGTTGATGGGGGCCAAGAGGAGACGCAGCAGCAGCAGCTGATGCAGCAGCAAGAGCAGCAAGGGAAGGGATTGGAGCAGGAAAACGAGGTTATGTTAGGGGGAGCAGCCACAGTCGCAGCATCAAACAAAGCCCCAGCTGCCGAACCTGCTGCTGCTGCCCGCCCACTGAGCACAGGCTCGGGCTGCCTTGGAACGTCTTCCGAGCCTAACAGCCGGGGCTGGGGAAGCGTGGACGAATCGCAAGACGCCTCGTCATCGGCCTATGAACGATCACGCACTGTATCCGCGTCAGCAACAGCAGGTGCGGGAGGGAATGCTGCCACAGGCCCTGTGTGGGTGGCTGATATGCTGGGCGGGTTTATGGAGGAAGAGGAGGAGGTGGAGAACGGTGGGGAGGGCGGGACTGTTCTGATGAGTGAGGATATTGACAGTAACGCTGGGGCGAGTGGAGAGAGGTGTGGGTGCCGTGTCACAGATGGGTGTGAGGGTGTAGGAGTGGTAGGTGAGGAGGGGACGCATCGGTGTGAATGCAAGTGCAGGGTAGAGGAGGGGGGAGTAACTGAGGAAAGAGCGACGGTGAGAGAAGGTGAGGGGAGGGAGTCGACTGGATATGGAGGGGAGGTGGGTGCTGAGGAGCAGGGGAATGGAGAGTCAGGTCAGCAAGAAGCAGGGCGTGAATCGGCAGTGGGGGTGGAGGGGCAGGGGCCAGAGCAGCAAGATGGGGGCTGCAGTGAGGGTTTACCCAAATGCAACGAGGGGTCACTTGAAGGCAATGAGGGTTACCCTGAGTGGCGGGAGCCTGCGCGGGGAGTGCTGGGGTACTTTGGCCTTGAGATTGGTTCTGTGGAGACTTCTGAAGGGAAGCTTAGAGCTGAGTGGCGCAGCAGCCGGCAGTGGGAGACGACTGTGGAGCTTAGCGAGTGCGACAGTATGGGGTACGGGGCGGACGGTCGGGCGGAGGGATATGGGGCAGGGAACGGAGGAGGAGGAACGGGAGGAGGAATGGGAGAGGGAGAGGGAAGGGGAGACGAAGTGGGGGCGGAGATGGGAGACGGAGCAGGAGGTGGTTGTGAAGGGTTGAGCGTGGTTCTGGTGCGCAGCAGGGAACGCAAGTGCTACGACACGTGCCAGAACCTGCCTCAAACCGGGCAGAGTGCGGCATGGAAGGCAGCAGCAGCACTGCCATGGGAGGGGCCGTGGGACAGACTGGGCAGTTTGGACAGATCAGCTATGGCTCGAGCAGCAATGGCTAGAGCAGAAGATGAAGAAATGCTCCCTTTTCGGCAGAAGCGCGCTCATTGGTCGAAGCATGGGTGCGTGCGCACATGTCAAGCCGCCATTGGCCATGGCAGCCTCATGTTCCTCTGCCATTGGCTGCTCTCCTCGCCCTATCTGATCCCCAGATGGCTCTCTGCTCCCCCTGCCTGGGGTTTCATCTCTGTAGTGTCACTCGCTTTAGGTATAGTGCTCGCAGCAGAGGTTCTCCGTATGCATATTTCTAAGCGCGTGCACGCTATAGCAGCGTTGGCTCTTGCTGTTTCGGGTTGCATCTGGTTGCTTCTCTCCGGGCCTTTCCATCCCATACCTGCGCTTCAGGCTCGGCCCGAGCCTGGGTCACGGTTCTGGCTGTCGTTTTCTCAAGCCAGCGGGTATGTGTCCGACGAGCCTCAGGATCTGGTATACCTTTCTGGACCTGTTACTGGACCTGTTGCTGGACCTGTTGCCGGACCGGTTGCCGTACCTGCTGCTGCTGCCTCGGCATCACAAGTCAGCACATCCACTTTCTCCGAACCAGCAGCAGTTGCAGCCAGAGCAGCAGCAGCAGTCGAAGCTGCAGGCTTCCGATCCTATCTTCTCGGTGCGCCGCTCCTAGCCTTGGCAATCCCGAGCCTGTGGGTTGTGCTGGCGCAGAACATGGGAGGGGCGTATCCGGGCCTAGGAGCAGCAGGTTCGGCAATCTGGTATGTCGTCCTGCTGGTTTGGAGTGCAGCCTTGGTGGCATACGAAAAGCTCGGACCTCTCGGCTTGCTTCGGGGGAGCTTGCCGGTCCTAATGGTGGTGGCGATGGGAGGAGTGGCTTGGGGAATATGGCGGGCTCCCGAACCTAAAGGCGAGGGACGGCGGGGCGATCTGGCAGTTCGGACGGAGTGGTGGAGGCTCGGGCGGCTTGCGTGGGGCAGCGGCGTCCCGGACCGAATGGTTAGGCTCGGTGCCCTTATCCTCGTTGCATTCCTCATGCTTCTCTCACAAGGGAGCTTGTCCTTTCGGTGTAAATAACAGGGAGCTGGGAAACGAAGGAAGGGAAAACCCGAGGATACAGGCAACACAAGCTGCAAACATGCATATTTTCAGCCCATTGGGGAGGGGTAGGGGGCGGAGGGAGAGGCTCCTTTGGCCTCATCTCTTCCTCTTTTTCTGCTCAAAGCCCTTTCTCCCTTTGCCCATCTAAGCCAGGCCTTTATGCCCTCCGATGCACGTAGTGTGAAAGTCTCTAGTGGGCACTGCTCGTGCCCATGCTTTGCCTCTGGTTGAGTTTATACCTTGCCACTTCTCCTGCCGCATGCATGCTCGGGCACAGTCATGCATGCTCGGGCAAAGTCATGCATACTCGGGCACAGTCATGCGTGCTCGGGCAAAGTCATGCATGCCCGTTAGTGCTACAGTGGCTACAGTATGGGCCTGTACATACCCTGTGAGTTGACCATGGGTTGGTCTAGGTGCAAGGGCTGCGCTGTTTCTTCTTGAGTTGTCTGTTTGCTTCTTGCACAAAGCTGTGGGCCATCCACCCCTTCATATGAACTTATGACAATTTCGACATTTTTACCCCGAATTTTATCCATCCCCTTGAGGTGTTTTCAAATCTCACTTCAAATCCCACCCCTTAGTTGAACCTGCACCATGCAATGCTACTCTACTCTTCCTGCACTACATGCGTGTGCATCACACGAGGTGGCTTTTGAGTCACCTCAGACAATGCTACTCTTCCTGCACTACATGCGTGCATCACACGAGGTGGCTTGTGAGTCACCTCAAGAGTCACCTCGGGCAATGCACCATGGCCGTTGGTCCTCTCTTCTTGCCTCCTCCCATCTCCTACTCCCCCTCGCTTTCGGCCTCCTCGTGTCTCTTCCTGCACCTCCTCCCCCTCCTTCCTGGTCCTCATTCTCCTCCTAATCCTCCTCTCTCACCCCCTCTCCGCTTTGTTTCCCCCTCCTGTTCCCCCTCGCATTCCCCCTCCCTCTGCCCCCCGGATCTCCCTACCACAACAGGCGCTATTAGCTCTTCTCCTGATTGTCCTCCTCCTCCTCCCCTTCCCGCTCCTCCTTCAATACGCCTACGCCCCTTCCTCCTCCCCAACCTTCGTCAGCAGCTTCGGCAGCAGCAGCAGCAGCTCTGCCAGTGCCGAGCCTGGCTCAGAGGCTTGGGTGCAGCTTCGGGTGCTCAACTTCAATGTTCAGCAGGGGTTCAGCCGTGCAGGTTCAGTGAACCTGGACGCCATAGAGCATGTCATCTGGCAGCAGAAACCGGACATTGTCTTGTAAGTACACTGCGCGAAAGTAACCCTTAACCCTTGCGTAGCGTTTGATTCGGTGAACCTGGACACCTTAGAGCGCACCATCTGGCACAATATTCCAACATGATCTACAGCAAGGTTGACTCTGTCTGACCATCTTTGACTGTCCTTGACCTCAATGTACCATCTCTTCCCACGTGTGCGCCATGGCAGGCTGCAGGAGTCAAACTCCATGCACATGATCCATGGCAATGCTGGAGTCGACTCATATTCTTTCAACGTGGCTTAGCATGCTCTCCTGATAGACTCTTTCTTACCATTCTATTCTCTCTCCATTGCCCCCCCATGGCAGGCTACAGGAGTCAGACACAATGCACATGATCCACGGCAATGTTGACTCTGGCTGACTAGTTTGACCATGTTTGACTGACCTTGACCTTAATGTACCATCTCTTTCCCCCTCGCCCCCCCATGGCAGGTTGCAGGAGTCAGACACAATGCACATGATCCACGGCAATGTTGACATGGTGAGTCATGTCATGTGCTGGTGTGCACTTGAACCGGGGGTGAGAAACGCATTGGGGGTGTAGGCTTGGCGTATCCCACCCCCAGGTGCAATACCTCGCAACATGGCTGCGCATGCATGGCTGGTCCTCCCCTCCCACCCGCCTCCAGTCCTGGGGCTGTGCCATTCTCTCGCGCTTCCCCCTCCTCGCATACCCACCCAACCAACCCCCTCCTTTCCCTCCCCAGCACGGCTTGCACGAGTGTTCCTCCCCTCCCGCCCGCCTCCAGTCCTGGGGCTGTGCCATCCCCTCCTGCACTCAAACCCCATCCCCCCCTCCAATCCCCCCCCTTTACTCCTCAACCTTTCCCTTTTTCAACGAGAATTTTTAGGCGCCTTAGAAAAGGATCCCTGTATGCACTTGTACCCACCCTTCCCTCCGTCTTTCTTCCCCCTCTCCTCCCCCCAACAGGTGCAATACCTCGCAACATGGCTGGGCATGCATGCATGGTCCTCCCCTCCTGCCCGCCGCCAGTCCTGGGGCTGCGCCATTCTCTCGCGCTTCCCCCTCCTCTCCGCCTCCCCCGCCCAGTCCCTCCCCTCCCCCCACGGCGAACTAGCCTGCTTCCAACACGCGGTTATTCTCTTAGGTGCTGGTAACATGCTGCCCGGAGGCAGTAACATGGTTACCAGCAGTGGTGTAGCTGGATGGGGTAACCAGACGACTGGGGTCGTGTCTGGTTACCCTGTTCACATCATGAACGCGCATTTTAGCGATCTTGAGGTGGATATTCGGCTGGAGGCTGAGCGGGCGGCGTCTCATGTCCGTAGTGTGCTGCAGGTGGGGAATGGCGGGGAGCAGGGTGGGAAAGGGGCGGGAGAGCAGGGGAATGGGGCTGAGAGGGAGGAGAGGAGGACTCAAGAAGAAGGGTTGCAAGGAGGAATGGAGACAGCAGGTGAACTGTCAGGTGAATTTTCAGGTGTTTTGTCAGGCGGAGCAGTGGATGGAACAGCAGATGCTGGCGCACATTCTCCTGTGCATGCTGCGCTAGAAGCAGAGTCAGGGGCAGTAGCAGCAGCAGCAGCAGCAGCTGCTGGAACAACAGCAGAGAGTGGTTTATCTGGTGGCATGCAAGGAGCAAGCAGAGCGGCAGCACTAGATGGTTCAGAGGAACACGCAGGAGGAGCTTTAGAAGGGCGTGTTTCTGGGGCAGAGGGTGAGGCATCAGCAGTGGAAGCGGCAGCAGGGAAAACACAGGATGGAGAAGCAGCAGAAACGGCAGGGACAGCGAAATCAGTGTCAGCAGCATTGGCAGGCTCAGCTGAAGGAGAGGCACTAGGGGATGGAAATACAGCAGCAGTAGGGCCAGATGATGCATCAGAAGCAGAGGAAGCATCAGGTTCAGTGGCGGCACCACTGTCATTGGCATCATCATCACAAGCAGCACCAGCCATAACAGCCCCCACCACCCACCCTCTCGCTTCATCCCTCCCTTCCACCCACCCTCCCGCACCAACACCCGCCCCCTCTCACTCCCTCACCCCCACCGCCCTCATTTTTGGAGGTGACTTCAACCTCGCACCTCTCTCCCCGCCCTACCTCGCCCTCCTCTCCCCTGGTCTCGTCGACACTCAGGCTGAGAGGATGGGCGCGTGGAAGGGTATGGGTGACCGGGACCCGGGGGCGGGGTATGTGTTTGTGTCGCGAGGGAATGTGGAGTGTGAGGCGTGGCGCGAGCCGAGGTATGACCAGCGGAAGACGTCTGATGGGTACCCTGTTGTGGTGGATGTTAGGATTACTCTCCCTGCTGCTGCTACTGTGTGAAAGTGCTGGTACCTGGATGAAAACAAGACAGGGAGTGTGCAACATGGTCTCAGGAGGAATGTGGAATGTTGATCACTGACTCAAGTGGGAATGTGGAGTGTGAGGCGTGGCAGGAGCTGAGGTATGACCAGAGAAAGACGTCTGATGGGTACCCTGTTGTGGTGGATGTGAGAGTGACTCTCCCCGCTGCTGCTGCTGCTGCTGCTGCTGCTGCTGCTGCTGTGTGAGAAGGGGGAGGGGGGGTGGGGGAGTGTGCAAGGTGGTGAATGACTGACTAGATGAGCTTGTATAGCCGTGTATTGGCTGGCTGACGATCGGTGACCTGGCGGTGTGTGGGTGACGTCAGAATTTTGAGGAGCCTCATGAGACGATGTTTCTTCGCAAGAATGCAAATGAGTCGGGGCGGTTGGAGGATGGTACGTATGAACGATTTTTAGAGAGTCCTAAAGACTGATACAGATGATGGCGGGAGGGCTGCTTCAAAGAAGCAGTGATTCTGAGGCACATCAAGGAAGCGTAGAATGCTTGTGCACTGTCTGAATGCTCATCCTCGTTTGGGGAGGGGAGCTTTATATAGTACACTACCGCACAAAGTGCAATTAGGTTTATGAATGTTCTCTAGTTCTTCCTGAATGCTTGTTCTGGTTATCTCCCCTCCCATCCACCTCCTCCCCCATCTTTTCCCTCCCCAAACCTTGTAGCCCTCTGATCGTTGCCCTAATAACTGAACCCCACATGGGCAGTGGCCAGGGCCCAAAATTGGTTTTGGCCTACCCTTACAAATCAGGGTAACAGCCCCTCCTTGAACAGACCCCTAGGGTAAAATTTTCCGTACCCTGTTGGCAGCAGGGTAAATCTACCATTACACTGATTTCGGCAGGGTAATTCTATATCTAGTCTGTTTTCACTACTAGTAATTTCTACAGTAACAATAAAGTAGCACGAAGCTGTCCTTGACGCGCAACTCTGCTCAGCTGGCAGTGGTGTGGCTCGATTAAGGGGTGTTTTGCCAGTCTAGTGTAAAAATAGACATAATGCTACAATCAATACAGAACTATTTGTGTGTGTCTCAGTTGGTTATATGTGCAGATTCAGATCTCAAGGTGGCGGGTTCAAATCCTGTGGGCGATTGGATCAGTTTTGCCATTTCGCAACGAAAATCCTCGCTACAGAGGATTCTGTATCAGTGTAATGTACAGCGCACCCTGATACAGCCAGGGTAGCCGAAATCGCTATCAGTGTAAAAAAAAAAAAATACTCTTTTTGCGTAAGGGAAAAAATCTTGGAAGCCTGATTTTGAAAGGGTAACTCTGAAAAACCGGCCGGCCCCCAGGGTAATCAGGGCATTTTACCCTGATATTTTGGGCCTTGGCAGGGGCTCTGAAAATATTGTGTAAGCATGATTAGCACCCAAATGGAGCATTTAAAATGCAACAAGGATGCCGGTACCGTATTACCGGCGCCAACATACCGGTAACTCTTTGGTAGTGCGTGCCTTGCATGCCTTGCATAGTTGTCAGCACGGCTGGCCGCCTGCAGCACCCATTCAAGCAGCACGTCAAATTCATTCTCCCATTCATGACGTGGAACACTGTATATACCGTATTGTTAGAATAGTAGCCTTAGGGTTTGGGGTAGCGTGAGCGAGAGAAACAGGAAGGTGAGGTTCACTACAGCAAGGTTACAAGATATAGCAAAGAAAGGTGAGCACATTGGTGCACCACCACTGTAGCTACACTAGAACACACAGCAAGCAGGGTATATAACAAAACTTAACACACCCCCTTAACCTGCTTGCCGTGATAACTAGTACAGGTACACGTGGCGCAGCGGAAGAGGGTAGAGAGGTTAGGAAGGAGGAGGAGGTGAGAGGAGAGGAGAGGAGAGGAGAGGAGGGAAGAGAGAGAGGGATGAGGAGAGGTGGGGGGCCAGGAGCGGCGGACCCGCTTACGAACCTCCTTTTACAAAGGGGGGTTGGGGAGGAGTGAGGGAAAAGGAGAGAAGGTGGGGGGCCAGGAGCGGCGGACCCTCTTAAGAACCTTCAGAAGGTGGGGGGCCAGGAGCGGCGGACCCTCTTAAGAACCTTCATAACTCAACTCAACTCAACCACCCCCCTTTAACCTCACTCCATGAATCTGCCATCCCCCCAATGCTCACCCTCACACTCCAGTCAACTTCACTATCACCACCCCCTCACCTTCTGCACTTCTCCCCCCCCCCCCCCCCCCTTCTCTACGGCGACAATCCCTGCAGTAAGAGAGAGGGGAGGGACGGGCTGCAGGCAGCTCACACACGCCACCCACACATCTCCCCCTCCTCCCTCCCCACGACGGAAGCAGCGGAAGGGAGGGCGGGCGGGGGGGCGGGGCGGCGGTAGCTGCTGCTGGCGCTGGCGGTGGCGCTGGCTGGTGCGCAGGCGCGAGCGGCTGGCCGCGGTGCTGGCGTCCGCGCTGACGGGCCACGCTCGCGCTGGCGCCTGCGGTCCTGGCTGGCGCGGGCGCTGGCGTCCATGCAGGTGCTGGCGCCCGCCGGCGCTGGCGTCCGCGGCGACGAAACGGGGGGCCCCGGCGCGTCGAAACGGGTGGCCGCGGGGCGACGAAACGAGGGGGGGCCGCGGGGCGACGAATCGGGGGCCGCGGGGCGACGAAATGGGGGGCCGCGGGGCGACGAAATGGGGGGCCGCGGGGCGACGAATCAG